ATGAAACATATAAAAATGAACAAATATGGGCCAATTTCATTGGTCTATGTAAATCAAGTGATCGGCGAGAGTTATCCAGCGTTTTGATTGGTTGTTCATTTTTCGGGGGGAGGCTTCAACCGAGGGGGGGGGTGGGGGGTGATGTTAACCGAAGAATCAACTTCGAACGGCCTAATGCGCATAATAAAAAAATCGGGTATTTTACTTAATAATCCCCCGATCACTATATCAAGATCACGGGAGGATTAATTAATAATACCCTGACCGTATGTGAATAAGCGGAAACGAAGTTTCCGCTAATTCCCAACGGATCAGGATATTATTATTACAAATCGCTCAAGGAAGACTTTTGGTCAAAGCGCTAATGGTGGCTTTTTTATGCAGATCATGTTACATTACACTGTGATCGTGAATCTGCTTTGTACTGCTGTGCAGATTAGGGGGACGCTTAAAGCCGGGTCCATTATAAATTTAAATTAACGTTAAGGTTAGGATTAGTTTAGGGCCTGTATGGACTAACATTAAAAGGTTTCTATACGTAAAATCGTCCCCTCGACATTTTTTCTTAATGCACCAAGATAGGTTTAGACATTGGTTTCTTGTATTTTTCACATTTTTTACTTTTTTTGCTTCGTCGGGCTGATCCGTGTAAACAAAAATTGGAGATTTTGATTGGTCGTACATAACGGAAGATCTCGTGACAGACCTGGCTTTAAGCGACCCCCAGATTAGGGATCTTCACCACAATGATCGACAAAATGTACGTTGTAAAAGGGTAGATCGTTGCTTGTAATAAGACTTTACCATATTCGGCTTAGTCAAATTGGCACATTTTGAACATAGTGAAACATATTAAACATATTTAATATATTGAACATATTCAATATATTAGATATGGTGAATATGTTGCATATATTAAATATATCGAACATGTTTCACTAACAATGTAAAATTATAAATACGAAACTTCAATAAAGGGCAGTTGGAGACAGCTGATGAGAGCTTAGCAAACAGCTCAGTTAGAGTTCAATATTGTCTGGCTCTACTAATCCCTCCTCCGATAAGTAAAATCTGTAGTAACCAAATCCCGTGACTCTGTATTAGAGCAATTCTTGAATGTGTACCAGGTTTATGGCGTAGTCAAAATTCTTTAAAGTTCTTGTAGGTTAAGTTTAGGGCTTTTATTGTGGTTAGAAGTTATGAAGGCATATAGTAAAATTACTCAAAAAAACTTCTTGTTAGTATGTGAAGAGTAGTTTTATATGCAATTTTTTAAGAAATAAGCAATTTTTGACAAAACGGCTGAAATTTCATGTTCGTGTTACGTTTCACCTGATCTTGAAATCTGATTCGTAGTTCAGGCAATCTGCGCCACAAACCTGGCACACATTCAAGAATTGCTGTATTAACTAGTGACGTAGTCTAGACCCTAGTTACTCGGACCAAGTCTTCCACGCCTAGATCGTTGCCTTACCATTATTAGGGTTTAATTAGAGTAGTTTAGTTGGAATTAATATGGTGTTATAGTGTATTCTTGCATTGAAGGGCATTTTTACACTTTCTCAACGTACCTACGTGCAGCATTGCAATGTACTAATCGGGTTGGCCAGGGTTGGATCGGCTTTGACTAAATTCTATTCAATTTCTTTTCCTTTTCTATTCCAAATTGTCCAACTAAATTAGCTATTCGAATCAATAAATTAATAAACTAAATTAAATAAATTTGTTAGTTGTTTAGAGTTGCTTAGATATATGGCACGGTTCAGAATTGAAATCTATTAAGTCATTTTTCTTATTTATTACATTTTTATTGAATCGGATTCAATCGGATTAAAATGGAACTATACGGATTATATTGGTTTGTTCTTACGCTTCGACTGTTGTCGAACGCTAAATGCTAAATGCTAAATAGAAAGTAAAGTTCAAATATTCTTTTTTATAATATATTCTATATTTTCAAATAATTAGAAGAGCGAAGATTTTATCCTGAATGAAGCAAAAGTTTTTAAACTCGATGAGCAAGTACGGTTGACACAGTAAGAAAATATCCATTTTATAGGAATAAATACGTTTACTCAGTGAATATTAATTTTATGGGCGTATAAAAACTTACTTTATAGTTCATATTTCTATATTAGAATATTTTAAGTTTTTTTAAAACACTTTGGGGTAGAGCATTTCATTGTCATTATTTTGAGTAATATATACTTATTCAAAAAACTTCATGAATAATGTACCAAGAATACAAAGAATATTACAAGTAAACTAATTTCACTCATATTTGCAAAATCTTTTAAGTAATGATGTATTTTAAATTAGTATTCCGTAAAATCAAATAAATTTTGAATTTGTTTCAGATATTTGAAAGTATTTGATCAAATTAATTAAAATTTTGATCAATAATTTCAAATATCTGAATCAAATTCAAATTTTGATTTGATTTTGCGGAGTACCATTTTAAATTCTCGTAACTATGATACATATTAAAACGCTCATGTTCGTTCTAAGGATGACTTAGAAAGTGGATACTTACGGTATTTTCTGATCTATCGAAAAGTTTTTGGAAGGATTTAATTTACTGAAATGTCCTAAAGTCGAAAATCCTACTGAAAATTGAAAGTCATACCGATAATAAACTTTTACAAAAAGTTAAACCTAAAAATGTAAATAATCATATATTTATACCGGATACAAGATCCCCCTCGATAGTAGACCCAGTATGAACAGTTCTTGGGTCTATTAAGGGGTTCTAGAATCTTGTATTCGGCCATTTACGGGGGACGCCTAAAGCCAGGTCCATTACGAATTTAAATTAACTTTAAGGTTAGGGCCAGTTTAGAGCCTGTATTGACTAATATTAAAAAAATATCAATATGTAAAATCATTCTCTCGCATTTTTTACTTTTTTGCTTCGTCGGGCTGATCCGTGTAAACAAAAATAAACGATTTTATTTGGTCTGCATAACGAGAGATCTCGTGATGGGCCTGCCATTAAGCGACCCCCATATACGGTAATTCTGAATTGGACCTCCTAACGTTTTCTTAATCATTTAACCGTTTAACGGTATTAAGATAATTCTGGCTATAATAAACATAATTTTGCCCGGCATTACGAAACCATGTCGATGCGAATAGTGGTTCCAGCCTTTTAATTAACATTGTCCAAAATAATTGGAATGGTTACGTATAATATAATAAAACATTTTTAATGACATTTCAATGGCTACTTTATAAAATATAATAAAAATTAAGTATATAACCATATATTTACGTATATAACCATATATTTATATATATACAGATACGGTATACAAACATTCGATATTCAGATTATCAGATCTATGTTGTTTTTATCCCGACGATATAATGCGGTAACACGAACTATGGCTTTTATAAATTAGGTAAGGATCTCCCTTAGTATATATGACCTCATTGATAAAATATCACTTATATCGAAAGGTCCTTGAAAGATTTTCCAAGAGAAAACCAGAGACAACTTTTTAGGTTTCATTTTGCGACTCAATTTGGTTATATATGTATTTAACTTGAAGCTGACTTCAGCCGCGGCTTAACATTAATTAAGCACAATCTAAGCCTTAAATTTAAGCCATGGCTTAAAGCTATGCTAAAGCTATGGCTTAAAGCTATGGCTTAAACCTATAGCACTCACTTGCCCTAATAGGCTTCAAGCTGTAAAAACATCAGATACGGTTTAAAATTTCCGGAAAAGGCATTATGCGGAATTATGCAGAGACATCAAAATCTGGAATTCGGGAAATGAAGATCAGAAAAAGGAAAATGTAGAAAATTCGGAAAAATGAAAAAAGGATATTTAAACCTATTACGATACACTATTATTCCGGCCTACTATCTAAAAATTTGTATTGTATCCTGATATTATTTTCAAACAGGCTGGAATTAGATTTAATTAATATCAAATTGTGATTATTAAATTATAGTATGTATAATGAATAAGTTTAGTGATGGGCAATCAGCTATTTTTTTAAAAATCCCGCGCGGGATGCGGATTCGCGGGATTGGGGTTTTTTTTTTAATTTCAGAATTTTGCGGATACGGGTCAAATTTTACCTTGCCCTCGGAATATTTTGGAACCCGGCCAGATTTATGACACTGCCCGAATTATACAATATATCCCGCGCGGGGTTTTTTGAATCCCGCGCATCACGCGCGGGATTACGCGCGGATCACGTGCGGTGCCCATCATTAAATAAGTTATAAAAAAGATGTATTGTAGCCTTCACGATTAAACAAAATGCAAGCGATCGATGCATTTTGAGTTTGCATTAAAATGAAACAAATCTACCTTACAACATTTATACTTGTTTTATTTATTTGCAGTGCTCATCCTCAAGGAGTTTCACGTGATAATGATACAATTACTAATGAGTGTCAAAGGATTTCTGACTATCGTAGCACAGGTGTAGACTATCTTAATTACTCAGACGTGAAAGCTTGCTATGATTCAATTCCATTTAATAAAACCAAGGCAGTTCAGGTACTAGTATTTAGTTGTTTTTTAAGTAAAAATTTGGTAAAATTTGTTACTAAAAAACTTTTATAATTCATTTATCAGACAATCGAGACAGTAAAAGAACTTTTAACAGGTTTCTATGCATTTTTAGATCAAGCGAAGGAAGAACCAAAAGCAGGATATACCTTTACGCCTATTGATTTAATAACAGAATTAGATTTGTACATAAATAGAAATTATTCATATGAATATGAATTCGTGGTAAATAAAATAAATCGATTTATAAATTTATTCAAATATATTATCGTTATAAATTAGTTGAATTATTTAATTATGTTAGTATGATATTGGAGATCTCATTGGTGAATTGAGAGATGGCCATACTATGTAAGCAATTCATTATTCGAATAAATATGACATCATATAATTCAGTATAATTGCTGAAATACAAATGTTAAATTTTATATCTCATAAGTCTTATAACATGTCTTATAACATGTCTTATAACATGTCTTATAATAGGTTCGCTTCTCCAGAATTTTCATATTATTTTTATCAAGGATTTTCTATGTATTCTGTTATTAGACCAGATGGAACACAGGTAAATTTTTGCATAATTAATAATGTACTAATGTCCAAAATTTTGCGTATGACTTACCTATTAATTTTTAGCAAATTAAGGTTTTTGATGACATAATAGATCCAAGCACTATTGATTGTCAAGTTACACATATAGATGATAAACCCGCGATTGACGTAATTACTGAATTCGCTCGTAATAACATAAGTAATTCAAGGGATTTAAATGTTCGCTTTAATACAGCCCTTGCATCTCTTGGTTATGGAAATAGTGATTTTATTATATATGGACAATATTTCTCACTTAGACAAAAATTACCTACTGATCCTACTATTTCTTACACGCTCAATTGTAGTGATAAAATTTTTAACATTACTAGAGAATGGATAGTTCCAAATAGTGGGAGTATTAAAATTGATCCAACACTTAAAGCTTATAATTCTTCATATATTAATGAAACTTTAGTTGGCAACGCATCTTTAATCTTTGATGCAATTTTCTCTAGATTTTATACATTACAAGATTTTGGTGTGGTTTTAATTTCAACTGAAGACACTACAGGTTTGAATATTGGCGAACTCAATCGTTTTTTGACCAATATGATCGTTGGATTTAAATTATTAGCTGATAAAGGTATAACAAAGGTAAATTATTTATAATTTATAATATACCGTATTATCATTTATTTATTATGTAGATCGTTCTTGATTTCAGTAATAATCGTGGCGGAGCAGTCATTGTTGCAGATTATATCATTAAACTTTTATTCCCCAACATAAATATTTTTCCTGAAGATATAAAAATTACAGACGTATCTACAGCTTTTATAGAAGAAATTTCTAATGCAGATGTTGTTGGCGATTTATTTAATTATAGATCATATACTTCAACAATTAAAAATAATTCATTTGATAGTATCAATGAATTTATTGGAAACAACACATATACACGTGGTGGTGCGCAAGTTAAATTTACAACAAAAGCATTTAGAAATGACTCATTAAATTTTCAAATTCTTCCGGTTCCTCCAAAATTTCCATGGACTGAGGAAAATATGGTTATTTTAACAAGCTTGTATTTCAGCATGCGCAAATACAGTTCAGCGATTAGCTGAAGTTAATGTTCCGACCGTATCTGTCGGTGGATTTCCAAATAATAAATTTTCCTTTGCAAGTTGCTCTGGTGGAACAGTATTGAGCAGTGATACTATTAGTGCTGCTCTAAACAATTATCAAAATCTTAGTAATTTAGCTTCTAGGTTAACTCTTTCTCAAGATTTAACTTTAAGATTTGTTTGTGCCGAAGTATATAGCATTAATAATCCCGACGAAGTTATGGATTTTTCCTTTAGACAAGCAGATTACCAATTGTATTATGATGAACAAAGTGCTAGAGATCCAAGTAGTTTATGGTTGCAGGCGGAACAATACATAAAGAAACGTTAATAATCCTAAATATATATAGTTTACATTTATTCAGATAGATTATGATAAAAACTCTACCAGATAATATTTAGTAACTTGTAATTTCTAGTTTACTCCAATGATAACGAGAGTTTTGTAATAAAATTTTCCTGAAAACTATAGTCACTTTACACGAATCATTCTGGTGACTTGCTTACGCGATAATGATATAGCCCCACTTGAATGTGTGCCAAACCGGTTGATAGCGTAACAATCTGCAAACGTAATTATAATTTTCGCCAATCAAAACTAGAGATGCAGTTATAAATTTTAGGATTTAAAAATTTATAAGTTTAAATATATTATGAATTATAGCATTCTGTAAATACATATTGTCGGGAAAGACAAAAAAAAATAATTTATGCATTAACCAATCAGATATCAGAAAAATAAATGTCAAAATGCATATTATTATTAATTTTTTCTTAACAATTATGTATTTAAATTAGTGATGCAATTGTAAATTTCCATAATTTGCCGTAATTATAGCAAAATTTGCTTTCTTGGCTTATTTAACAATAAAGAAGTTGTCAGTTTAATTTCTAGGATCATTTTTGCAAATTCTCTAGTATTTGAAGGTTCTTTTCATGAAATTTCAAATAAACCCAAAAAATCTTGATCAAGAAGTTAGTTTTAAGTGATGTTGGAGATTATAAATAATTAAATAAAAATTTATTAAATTTAATTAAAACTGTTAATTTAAAGTTTTAAGTTTCTATTATTACATATAATATTGTATTAAATCATTTAAGTATAATAATAACATCCTAAATCTTGTTTTTAATTAATTTAATCAAAATATATTATATATATAAACCATAAAATATAATTATTTTAGATAGAATAAACTATGCACTCTGTTATGCAAAAATGCTATGTTTTTGGTAAAGAAAATATCGAAGATTATAATTATTGAAAAACTAAAAAAGCAAAGATCAGGAATCAATAGCATAAAATTTTACATATATAAAGATAGTAAAATCATTTAATTACTACAACTAGAATTTTGCAAATGAATACAAACTCAAATTAAGCCATGTATTCTGTTTTATTACACTCATAGTAAAGAAAATATAAAGGATTATAATTATTAAAAAACTAAAAAAGCAAAGATTAGAAATCAACAGCATAAAATTTTACTTAATAGGAATAGACAAAATATAGATTATAAAATCAATTATTATTACAACTAAAATTTTTGAATAAATACAACCTTAAATTAAATTATACACTCTGGTTACTACACTTTTGGAAAGAAAATATGAAGAATTATAATTATCAAAAAACCAAAGAATAATTAACTATATAAAATATATATGTTGTATCCCAGATGCAAATCGGCCCAATTGTTAATCGGGGCAGCCCAGATTGCAATTTGATTTTGGGCTATCAATTTTGCCCCATATGCAAATTGTAGATCATTATAAATAAATCAACCAATCAAAATAAACAAACATCAAATCATATGAATATTCAGAATATTACTATACTAAATAATAGAAATTCAATAAACATCTCAAATAATAATACTGTAATTATATGCTATGATTCTATATTAGTTATTTGTTATTATTACTAAATAATAGAAATTCAATAAACATCTCAAATAATAATACTGTAATTATATACTATAATTTTATATTAGTATAACTAATAAAAAAAATATTTTTAATTTTATTGATTTTTACATCGAACATTATTGAAATGGCAATGAATACTACAAGTTGCGCCTGCCTTTTTATATTTACAATAGTTTTTTAAATAATCATCTTTGCAAAGGCATTTTGTAGCAGTTATAGAGCCAGAGCTTTGTTGAATAGCAGCTTTACGGGTACTTACACAATTGTTAGAAATATTTACAAGCTCAGAGTATTCTCTAAAAGTTCCAGTAATAGGAACCAATTTAATAGCTGAATAATATTTGTTTAATCTTCTATATTGACATCCTAAAATATATGTGTCATTCTCGGTGATTTTTAACACTTTACAGGGTATGTATTAGCAATCAATACTAGCACAGTCAACTTCAGAAATTCAAATCTGAACCAAATCATTTGGTTCAAATTTACATGGATGTTTTTTTTTCTTTTTTCATTTGCTGACTCATTTTTTCTATATAAACTTCCAGGTGCTTAGTAGCTTCAGCCTCAATGATACTTTGGGTAACATAAAAAGACAAAAATAAATACGAACCTTGATTCTTAAAAAAAAAATTAATTATTGTTTATTTCAAGCAAGTTTATATCAAAAAATAAATGGTAAGTATTTTTATAGCTTATTATTTTTTGCTAATCTAATACTTACCATTTGTATAGTTATATTATTTAATGGTGGTCTCTAAAGTTAAAATGATTGTTTCAAATTTAAATTTTGATCAAAAAAATAATAAAAAAAATTTTTATTAAAAAATTTAAAAAAAATAATATTTTAAAAATAATTTTAAATAAATAACAAATAAAACATAAATGAAATATATAAAGACATCTAAATTTCACATTTAATGCTTAATAATATCTACTAGATTTTTTACTGACTTAGATAGTGGTGATAAAACCTCAAATTCATTATCATATTTTCTAATTGAGCTGTTATTTATTACTTAGTACTAACCACACTTACTGCTACGTTAGATGGTGGTGGCAGTGGCAAACCCTAAAATTCAAAGCTAAGTTATTATATTTTTCCTAATTAAGTTATTCTTACTTAATACTAACTACACTTACTGCTACATTAGGTGGTGATAATAGTGGTGAGCCCTAAACTTCAAAGATAAGTTGTTATTATATTTTTTTCTAATTAAATTATTACTTTTACTTAATACTAACCATGCTTACTACTACATTTGGTAGTGGTAGCAGCAGTAAACTTTAAAAGTTAAAGATTAGTTGTTATTATATTTTTCAATTAAGTTATTACTTTTTAATACTAACCTTACTTATTACCACATTGGATAGTGGTAGCAGTGGCAAATCCTAAAAGATCAAAGATAAGTTGTTATTATATTCCTAATTAAGTTATTACTTCAGTTATTACTTACTTAATACTAACCTTACTTACTATTACATTGGGTGGCAGTTGTAATAGAAAATTCTAAAAAGATCAAAGATAAATTATTACATTTTTCAATTAAGTTATTACTCCTTACTTAATACTAACCTTACTTATTACCACATCAGGTGGTGGTAGTGGTGGCAGTGGTGAATCCTAAAAAATCCAAGATAAATTGTTATTACATTTTTCAATTAAGTTATTATTTCAGTTATTCTTATTTATACTAACCGTACTTATTATCACATCAGGTGGTATTGGCAGCGGCGAATCTTAAAAAATCAAAGATAAGTTGTTAATATAGTTTCTAATTAAGTTATTACTTCTTAATTATTACTAACCACATTTACTACTACATTAGGTAGTGGTAGCGGCGAACCCTAAAATTCAATATAGAATTAAACTGTTATTTTTCAACTAAAATAATAATAATACAATATTGTTATTTTTCTAAATACTTATCATATTCCAACATTAGGTAGTAGTGGTAGCATTAAAGTCTAAAATTTTCAAATTATAGTCAGTTAATTGTTTAAACCAAATATATATTTCATATTTATTTTTTACTACATTCTCATTAGATAAAAACAATGGTAGAACCTAAAAATTTTAAAGTAAATACAAACTGTCATCTTTTAAATTTTCAAATTTAATTATTAGTAATTAATGATTTTTACTACATCCTCATTAAGCAATAGCAGCGGCGAAACTTAAATTTTAAATAAAAAAAAAAGATAAGTATAAATGGTTATTTTCATTTGAAGCATTTTTAATTACTAATAGTTACCATATTTTTATTAGGTGGCAATAGCAGCGAAACCTAAAGACAAGTAAGGTCATTATTTTTTAATTGGAATATTATTTCTGGTTCAACATTTACTACATTTCTATTAGATAACAGTAGTGGCAAATTCTAAAATGTCAAGATATATAAACTACCATTCTTCAACTAAATATTATCTCTTATTCAACACTTATCGTATCTTTCATAATAATATTCAGCGACGGCATTAGTAAGGCTTAAAATCCAAAGATAAGTATAACTTTTTTTATTCTATAATCATTTTTCATTCTATTTACCATATTTTCCTCCATATTAGACAGCAGCAAATTCTTAAATTTTAAATGAGTAATTTTAAGTTTAATATTAAATTCAGTTCTAATTTCTTATTAAATACTTACTATATTTATCACGTTTGGCAGCAACTGCAGCAAAATTGATAAGTATGAACATTATTATAAATTAAAAAGCAAATCTTTGTTCAATACTAACCATATTTTCCATCATACTAGGCGATAGTAATAATGAACCCTGAAGTTTTTTTACATTTTAATACTTAATTACATATATATATATTTTTCAATACTAATATTACCATGACACTGGGTGGTGGGATGACAATGATAATCAACTCTGAAAATTTTTTTTGTTAAAGTAAGAAAATTTTCACATTTTAATAATCAAGTGCAAATTACAATTTTTTTTTATTCTAATATTACCATTATGCTAGGTGATAGTGGTGAATTCTAGAATTTTAAATAATCTCATATTTTAGAATTTAAATACTTCTAATTTTAAATATTCTTAATACTTACCAGATACTGCAGCATACTATTAGATAAGAAATTCTAAAAATTTAAAATAAATTTTATCTAGTTTTCTAATTTTTAGTTTTCATTTTCATAAAGTTAATACTTATTATGAAAAATATGCTATCATTATTATTCTCATTTTGTGATAAAATTTTATTCCAATTTTCATTAAACTCATCATTTATACCATCGTCTTCATCTTCTTCAACCTGGATATTGTCCTCATTATCATTATCAAATTAAACATCATAATATTCTTCAATTTAAATGTTATTAGGAATATTTTCCTCATCTCTAATTCCTTGAGACCAAAGTTGGTCAAAAAGAACATAATTACTATG